AACGGACATCAACCTGCGCGGACGAGGATGCTGTTCGGTTGTTGTCACCACAAATTGATGTTGGTGGCTCTTTTTTTTCCTTAAGAAAATCTTAAGTCCCTCTTTTGTGTGGCCGGAGCGAATCCCAAGGCCTGAGGGAGGGGAAAATGAAAAGAAAAAAAAAAAGAGCTGAGAAGTTGCTCGGTTACTTTTGTGAATATTGTTTCGTAAATTCGTATTTTATTTTGATTCTTACTTTTTTTCTTTCGCTTTTGACGAGATAAATAAGTTTCTTATTAAAAAAAAGAAAAAAAAAGAAAAAAGGAGCTGCTTGGGTTTCCTAATTATTGAGTAAACATATGCTTTTTCCTTTTTATTCTTTTTCACTTCTTTTTCTCCCCCTTCCTTTTTCCCTGCCCCTTTTTTACCCCACCCCAAAAAAGAGGGCGACGGTCTTTGGACATCCTGAATCCTGATTGAACTGACCGGCCCCAGGTAATTCAGAATGAATGACTATCCTTCTCATTTTGGAAGCATCTGGATTCGAACTTAGGTCTGTACTTCAACAGGTCATTGGTGTCATTGGTGTTTATACTGAGCTCGGCCCGCAGGAAAACATAATATTCGTTTCTCAAAGATGAAACCAATATTAATTTATTACATTACAAATAAAAATAAAAAGCAGTAAACGAACATGCTGTTCCATTTCCGTACTTTAGCCTAGTTAAAATTTCTCCTTTGATGATGAATGGATGCTGAGCTCTTATATTTAAAAAGCAGATATTTACAGAAATCACTGATCAGGACTCCTGCCAGGTGCATAAGCAGTTCCGATCTTCCTTTCTTTCGTTCTTTCTTTCTTTCTTTCTTTCTTTCTTTCTTCTCCTTTTTTTTTTTTTTTTTTTTTTTTTTTTTTTTTAACAGATCCCAAGTCTGCTGGATATGCTGATATGATATTAGTAGCGCGGTAGCATAAAGTTAGTCTAGTTCTTCTTATTAACGTTTTTGAGTCGTTCGTTTAGGAGTAGTAGCGTAGCTGCGTAGTATGCAGCCATGAGTTGGTGCCACTTGGTGGGTCTTAAAAGCTAAAAGAAGACCTGCAGGCCTGTCCTGTAAGCTAAGCTGGATGATGATCCAGTCTTTCCAGATACTGTCTGGGAGTCAGTACTGTATTCTTCTCAGGGTAGCCGGACTCAAATTGATGTTTATGAAATGAAAGTTGATTTTTTTTTTTTTTTTTTTTTTGAAAGTTGAATTTCGAGTTAAAGAAAAAGAAGAAGAAGAAAAAAGGTGCTCATATGAGCAGACACCTTGGGAAAACCTGTGCCTCTTCTTCTCTGGGTTGTATTTTTTGGCTCCTCTTAAGGCAGACTCACGGTAATACTTTCCTATATGTACCTGACTGACAGCAATTGCAGCCAGGACTAAATGAATCTGACCGCAATAACGTCCAAAGCTCAGACGAAAAAGTCCTAGTGTGAGTATGCCCTCAGGCCCTTCGATTCCCTTGAAAACCTCGCGGCCCTGGCGTAGTGTTTTTTTTTCTTCTTCCCCTAACACGGAACGGTTTATATTCTCTCGATAAACGAAGAGAAGGAGGTGTCGGAGGCATTGACAGGGATTGACGGTATTGGTCGGACGCTTATTACGTCTGTCGCTGCACACTTAACGGTCTGCCACGTAACGGATCGAGATCAGTGACAATTGTCAAAGAATCTTTCCTAAAATGGCTCTCATTCATTCAAAGCACCTTTCAAGCAGCATACATAAACTGAGGAGTATGAAGAAGAAGAAGAAGAAGAAGAAGAAGAAGAAGAGGAATAGTGAAAACAGTCGCCAACTGCCTTTCGTACACGCTTCGAAAGCTCATCATTACATAGCCACGCGTGCCCGTCTCAGCTCACGCGCACAATCCCCTTGCGCTCCGATCATCCTCAGGGGGCTTTCCGCTTAACCCTGCATTGCGGCCCACCGACCATCCTCCCAAGCTTCTGAGTACTGAGGGCCGATACGGCCTTGCCCTCCTTTATACTGTACAACGAATCGAAAGACTAGCCTGCACGGTACTCTCTTCCCCAACGGGCACTCCCCCCAGCGACTACGGCTATGACAAGTCTGCCTCGTAGACATTGTGTCGGCGTCTAAATGTTCCGTTACGTGTCGGCCCCTCAACGGGGGTCAGATAGACAAACCACTTAAGCCTCTAAGTCACTACACGACGACTATTGCTACAGTCCGGCCTTCACCGCATGTTCACGTGTCAAGGTACTATGCAAGGGCTATCTATTCCTTTCCGCAAGTAATCCTCCCAACGAACAACTTCCACCGTTGAGTCCCACGTTCTTCGGTCTGTGATTTCTTATTGGCCTAAAAAGATCAGCGCGGATCACAGCCTTGATCCCTAATACGTGGCACGGGAGGCCCGTTAGTTACAACGTGTCGCGTGTGCCCTACCCAAATTCAAATTTCGGTACGCTGTAATTCCTTTTCCTGCTCTTTTTTTCAAAATGAGCGGGGCGGCCCAGTAGTACCGTGACTGGGCTGCCACGTAATTCCGAGAAAACCTGCCTGTACAGAAATAATTTAATAAAGCCGATAGTATTTGAAAAAGGAGCTACAAATTCAAAAACCGCTACTGCGTACGCTACTTCGCCCGGGCTCCGCTACATGTAGTGCAGACAATTACGAAGCCCCCATAATTAATTTCCATTAATACAGCAGTAGCTATCTACAGTGAAAGTCCTTACTGCGTAAAAAACGGACAAAAAAAGGGACAAAAAAAGGGACAAAAAAGGGGACAAAATTACGACGTAAGTATGGGCCCAGTTTATGGCCGCATACGCTGTAGGGGAACGAATAACCCATTGTACCAGGTTCTCGAGCAGCCTCATCCGAACTTAAGGAAGAAGAAGAAGAAGAAGAAGCAGACGAAAAGGAAAGAATAACAGAAAAGAAAAGCAGAGCAAAAAGAAGTAGAAGAAAGTTCAAGAAACAAGTCTTAGATCAAGAAGAAGAAGAAATCGAAACAAGAGCAAGAGGAAAAGAGAGGAAGCCGAAGAAGAAGGAAAGAAGAACGTGATGGAACGAAGAATAAGACCTGTTATGTGTGAGGCTTTGAGAAGAAGAAGAAGAAAGAAGAGGAAGAAAGGAGGAGGCAAGGAAGAAGAAGAAGAAGGAGAAGAAGAAAGAGGAACGAGCAAGGAAGAAGAAGAAGAAGAAGAAGAAGAAGA